TCGTTCTTATCATAGGATGCACAGCAAAAGTCAACGAATTCATTCTTTTCATTGTCGCTAGGCGGCATTTCAAGAATAATCTCTTTCAGTAATTGTGAGTACATAAAAGATTGGAACTGTTCAATAAATTCGAACGAGAGTATGAACTTCATTCACCAATTTGGTGGTACACTCGAGAATATTTTATCTACACTCTACTTAACAAATCTCTGAGAGTTCAAGACACGCAGACTATTCTTAAGATGGGCTTTTTCTTGCGAGATTTGCACCATCAAATTGAGCAATTACACTCTGAGACGCATAGTGGAGATTCAGTGACAGTTTTTCGAGGACAAGGCCTGTCACATGCTAACTTTGAGAAGTTAAAGAAAAGCAAAAATGGTCTTCTATCATTTAATAATTTTTTGTCGACAAGCAGAAATTGTGCCGTTGCATACAACTATGCAGATAGTGCACGACAGAATACTGATCTTATGGGAATTTTATTTGAAATAAAAGTTTGCCCGTCAGTGTCATCCACTCCATTTGTCTTTCTAAACAACGTTAGTTTCTTCGGAGAAACAGAGCAAGAAATTTTATTCTCAATGCACAGTGTGTTTCGCATATGTGATTTCGAAGACATTGATGAACGACTTTGGCGTGTCTGGTTAACATTGACAAGTGACAAGGATCCGCAATTAACACTTCTAACGCATTGCATCCAACAGGAAACACACGGATCAACGGGATTGCATCGAATGGGTAAATTGATGGTTAAAATGGCTAAGTTTGATGAAGCCGAAGACATATATAATACACTACTGACAAAAGTATCTGAAAATGATCCTAAGGAACTTGCTCACATTAACTTTCAACTTGGGTTGATCAATGCAGCAAAGGGTGATCTGGGGAGTGCACTTTCCCTCTATGAGAAGACGCTTGATAGCGAATTAAAATCTTTGCCACCCGATCATCCAGACCTGGCTGTCATATACAACAATATGGGTATAGTGCATGACTCAATGGGAGAATACGATGCAGCTCTTTTGTATTATGAGAAGGCGCTAAACGTTACAGAGAGATCTCTTTCGCCTGATGATCCAGAACTGGCCAGCATCTACAGCAATATTGGTTCGGCATACGTGTCAATGGGAAAATATTCAAAGGTAGCCTTGTACTACAAGAAAGCATTAGTAATCAAGCTCAGTGCTCTGCCGACCATTCATCCATCAATCGCTACCATCAATGACAACATTGGTACAATTCACACAACAATGGGACACTATTCGACAGCACTCTTACACTACAAGAAGGCACTTGAAATCAAACAGAAGTCGCTTCCAGTGGATCATCCATCAGTCGCTATCACCTTTGGCAACATTGGTACGATACACATGTTAATGGGGGAGTATCACGCTGCACTTTCACACTATGAGAAAACATTAGATATCTAGCAAAAATCTCTTCCATCCAATCATCCAGAACTGGCTATTACATACGCCATGACTGGATCAGTGTACAACTCGATGGGGAATTATTCAATGGCATTGCAATGCTACGAGAAGGCGATTGAAATTCAGAAGGAAACCCTTTCAGTTAATCATCCAAATCGATCTCTTAGCTACATCAACATTGGTATTGTATATGATTCTCTAGGGAAATATTCAACTGCCCTTTCATACTATGAACAAGGACTTGAAATTCAACACAAAACACTCCCAACCGATCATCCGGAGCTCGCTAATACTTACAAGATGTTCGGCTCGGCTTATCAATCACTTGGAGAATATTCCAAAGCGCTCTCATTCTATGAGAAGACACTTGAAATCGAACAGAAGTCGTTGCCAGTAGATCATCCATCACTCGCTGTCACCTTTGGCAACATTGGTGTTGTGTACATGTCGATGGGAGACTATTGCGCAGGGCTTTCACATTGTGAAAAAGCCCTAAAAATTCAACAGAAATCTCTTTCCTTCGATCATCCAGACCTAGCTACCACTTACAGCAATATTGCTTCAGTGAGCAACTCTTTAGGAAATTATCCAACCGCACTTTCGTATTACGAGAAAGCGCTTCAAATCAGACAGAAAATATTTTCACCAAATCATCCAGAGTTGGCTACCAGTTACAATAATTTAGGATCGATGTATACGTCAAAAGGAGAATATTTTCAGGCGCTGTTACACTGCGAAAAGGCACTTGAAATCTGGCTAAAATATCTTCCAGTCAATCATCCAAGTCTTGCCACCATTTATAACAATATTGGTTTGATACATAAATCAACGAGAGCCTATTCAAATGCACTCTCATATTACAAGAAGACACTTGAAATTATACAGGAGTCTTTACCATCCAATCACACGTTTATGGCTACTACCTACAGCAATATTGGTTCGTTATATAAATCAATGCAAGAGCATTCGACAGCCCTTTCATACTACGAGATGGCACTTGAAATAGACCAGAAATATTTGTCGGTTAACCATCCATCGCTGGCTATCACGTACAACAATATTGGTTCAGTTTACTTTTCGATGGAAGAATATTCGAGAGCACTGATATATTATGAAAAGACGCTTGAAATTATGCATAGCGTTTTGCATTCGAGCCATTCATCGATAGCTATCATTTACGAGAACGTTGGCTCCGTCTATCTGGCAATGGGAAAATATGCAGCAGCTCTTCCATATTATGAAAAGACGCTTGAAATTCAGCAAAACTCCTGTCCACCGGATCATCCATCACTGGCTACCATTTATAATAACATTGGTTTAATCCATGATTTAATGGGGCAGTGTGGGAATGCTCTACCGTACTACAAAACAACTCTAATAATCAGACAGAAAACTCTACCGCCTAATCATGTATTGCTTGCTTCTACATACGGAAATATTGGTTTGATGTATAAATCTATAGGAGAATGTTCGTCAGCACTCTCATACTACGCAGAAGCACTTCAGATCTTGCAGAGGTTTCTTCCAACAGATAGTCCATTACTTGCCATCATCTACAATAACTTTGGTTCAATACATAGGTTACTGGGAGAATATTCAAAGGCTTTAACATATTATAAAATGATGCTCGAAATAATGCATAAATCGCTGCCATCTAATTTCATATCGTTTGCTACTTTATACAGCAACATTGGTTTGATGTATCACTCAATGGATGATTATACAATGGCATTATCATACTATAACGAAGCACTGACAATTAAAGAGAACTCACTTCCTCGCAATCCTGCGTCAATAGAAGTGACGCATTATAACTTGGCTAAAATATATGAAAAACTCGATCGGTGCGAAGAAGCTGTCAAACATGCCGAGTGTGCTACCAGCCTTGCACATGAAGTTTTTGGTCCTAAACATCATGAAACTAAGGTGAATCAGGATTATCTAGATGATCTCCAGCGAAAAGTGTAAGTGATATCGTCGCGAAATGGTGACAAGGTTAAAGAAACAGAAACAAATGCTTCTAACTCTTTGCTTTTAAATCAATGATATTGTATTGAGGTGTGTTTTATATAAAGCCTATCGGTTCCAAAATGATTCGGACCCCAACTTAATCGATTAAATTTTTCCAGACTCGAACCGTATTCTTAATACTCTTAGAAAGGCATCATCTAGTTACAATAATCGCTCTGAAGACACGAAATGCTTTTTTCCAATTATTTCTATTTCATGAATCGCAAAAGTTTCCATGTCTTCAGCGTGTGAATGCGGTGAGAGGGAGAGTAAGTATAATAATATAAAACGAAGAATTGCAACTTTATCGAAAATCTTTGATATTTCTGTTACAGATTTTTGACAGGTCCGGCAAGAATTCGACAATGACTCGCTATCTTCTCCTGCAAAAACGATAAAAGTCTGAGAAAAGCGTGTTGCTATGGAACTTTAAAATCCTGACGGGATTTCCAACAAGATGGGTGTGAATGTGGGTATATGCTTGGGAGAAGTAAAATACCCAAGGGGGAAAAAGCGAATTGTGGTATCCCGGTATCCTCTGTATTCCCGATGCATCCCCTGTATCCCGATGTATCCTCTGTATCCCCGATGTATCCCCTGTATCCCCGATGTATCCTCTGTATTCCCAATGCATCCTCTTTATTCTTGGCATATCCTATGTAACTCCAATGTATTCTACGTATGCTTACTGTATTATCTAGACTCTGGTATAAGAGATAATGTTACTCCGATAAGTTGCGTAAATATTTGAAATTCAAATATTGAATTCTCAAATCAAGCAGTAATAAACAAGTAACGCGAGGTGCTGCACCTCGCTTAACCCTCGACTGTATCTTGCATACACTATAAAAAAAAGGTGCAGAATGATAAACTGTTTCAGGGTTTACGATAGTGCAACGTAGAATAAACCGTGTTTACCCAAGGGGGGGGGGG